AAAACAATTTTATCAACAGAAACTCCTTTAATTCATGAAGAACCAAGGGCAAATTCTACTCCCTACATGGAAAATAAAGACAGGATAAACCCAAGGAGAGTGAATTTTAGGGAGCTACCTGAAGATTCTTCATCTGATTCTGATGAACCTACACCAATAACCAATAATAAAATCACACCTACTTCTGTAACTCAACCAACATTAGAGTTATCTACTTTACCATTTTATATCATCGAGCAACGTGCTAGATTAAAAAGTAGTAGAGAAAATTTAACATATATTAAGGACAACTATGTACATTTTCTCTCAGCCGATTGCGAGTTCAGCACCTCAATCAGTAGGTTATTGATAGAGATAGGACTGCTAGACCCGCAAAATATTAAAGAATCAAAACCTTCCATAGGACAAATAATAGTAACACCCAGAGGAAAACATAATATATATACACTTATAATACAACAAAAATACTTTGATGAATTACAACAAGAAGATTTAGAAACAGCTTTTAAAAATTTAATTAAGGTGTTAAGTCATGATAAAATCACTTCCTTTAGAATTTCAAATCAAGGTAATTTAACTGACTTGTTACCAAAAGGAAAATTGTTAAATTTATTATCTGAGTATTTTCCACCTCTTGGCATTAACGTAACCGTTTGTTATAGAAATGTTATAATTCCAAAGGCAGACATTCAAGAACAACTTATAGCTGAAAATCATAATAGCAAGTTTGGTGGTCATAAGGGTATAAATAAAACTTATAGACGAATTCGCGAAAAGTATTTTTGGCCAGGTATGAAAGGACAAATTACCGAATTTGTAAGAAAGTGTATTTCTTGTCAAGAACAAAAATTAGTAAGAGCTAAAACACATGAACCTATGTTGATTACGGATACTCCATTAGACGCTTTTGAAAAAGTATCAATAGATACTGTAGGTAAATTACCAACTACTCCAGATGGTAATAAACATATTCTTACTATACAGGATAATTTATCAAAATACTGTATAGCTGTACCAATACCGGATATTACAGCAAACACAATAGCTCATGCATTGACGAGAAATTTATTTTGTCAATTCGGATCTCCAAAAGTTATTCTTTCCGATCGAGGTACTGCTTTTACTGGTACATTGATCAGAAAATTAACAAAAATATTTGGGATAAAGCAAGTAACAACGTCAGGGTACAGACCACAATCAAATGGAGCATTAGAAAGAAGTCATGCGGTACTTATGGATTATATTAGGTCTTACGCGGATAGCTTTGATGATTGGGATAGGTTATTACCTTTTGCAATGTTTAGCTATAATACTTCTATTCATCAGGCAACTAAATTTACCCCTTTTGAGTTAGTATATGGAAAACCAGCACGAACTCCTGTATCTTATCCTATAAATGAAAATTTAGAGACATATGGATCGTATTTACAAGAACTTATAATTAGGTTAAATGAACTAAAATTATTAGCCGCTGAAAATTTAATAATTGATAAACAACATACAAAATTGTATTACGACAGAAAGGTTAAACCATTTATGGGGAAAGTAGGAGATATGGTTTATGTTCAAAAAGAGGTCAAATTACATAAAAAACTAGATAGCCAATATCACGGTCCTTATAAAATTAATAAAATTTTAGATAAAAGTAACATTATTTTAGAGACCAAAGAAGGAAAACTCTTTCAAAAACACGTAGACAAACTAAAATTAGCTTATCTATAAATAATATTAATAAAATTAATTATTTAGGATCACCATGGCTGAATATCATCAAGCTAAACCTCTACATGGAGAAATTAAACCTTCCTATATCCTTCCTAAAGGAAGGATAGAGGAATATGAATTCCCTAAGGGTAAATTGGAGGAATTATCCATTGAATACAATTTCTCCAAACCCGAATTCACTTTGGAGCGTGAGGAGTATGGATCTAAAAATTCCAAATCATTTTACATGAAGTGCTCAATTGAAGACAAGGTGCACAAAAATAAATTCGTGGAAATCGGGGATGGATGCACCACAAAAAAACAATCGGAGCATTCAGCAGCCAAAAAGATTTTGGCCAAATTGCAAGAAGTATACTATTTTTCAGAAGAAGAAAACACTATCCACGAGAAAGAAGATTCATATGTCCTTTGCCTGGATTGTACAAGAAAAATGTTGCGAATAAAATTATTCAAATGGGAGAATTCCTGTCAATTATGTTATGCAAGAGGGCACGTTAAACATAACTGTCGAGGAGTGATAAGGAATAAAAAATTCCACACTAAAGTGATTGGAGCCAAAACCGAAGAAATTTGGTAATAAAAAAAAAAAAAAAAATTTTTTTTTAAAAATATATATATGCCAATATATATATTGAAAGGAGAAAGAAAGGTAGTAGTATAGGTATTGGTATAATTATATAACTAACTTAAATATAATCAAGGTGTACATATTCTTTCAATTACTAACAACTTAAATATAATACTAACACCATATATATATGCTGCTGTTTGCCTTTGTTGTGTCGCTTCAATAATTATAGAATAATAATGCATGAAACATTAGTACTATAAGAGTAATTTAAGTTACAATAATTTCTCTCGCATTTAATTTTTTTTTTGGTTTACTTAATTATGCCCTATATCACTTATAATAGAAAACAATATTCGCTTAAAATAAGAATATCTAACTGATTGCTTGTAGAACGCTTTGCTTATTAATCATGCTAGTAACGCTAAAAAATAAAAAAAAAAAAAAAAAAAAAAATTAAAAAAAAAAAAAATATATTTTTCATTTTGTTTACTTTAAATATAATTTTAATGGACATGATTTAAATAATAAGATATTATCATCAAATTAAATAGGAACATTGTGTTTTACTATAAAACAAAATGTCACTATAATATTATATTACCATATTAGTAAGTATTACTAAAAGTATTTTAATCAAACTGTATTTATCCATTACTTATTCACTTTTATAATTAAAATATAAGATCCTATAATTTTCAGACAATGTTGCTTTGAGAGTCAACTGTTTAGCTTAATATAAAACTGCCCTACAAAAAATAAAAGAAAAACATAAATTTAACGAAATTTAAGACAACTGAATGGCACAAAATATTATTATTCGTTAATATTAATAACTAATAATAATATTACAATATATAATCTTACTTCAAAAAAAAATTTATATAAACATTAGTAACTATCTTTTATTAATTATGCAGCTTCGTCATTCATTTAAAAAAAAAAAAAAAAAAAAAAAAAAAAAAAAAAAAACAATTTATTATGCTACTATATTTATCTATTAATATAAAGTTAGTACTCTATTCATAACTATTAAATAATATCAACTTTTACATTATTACTAATTTTTCGAATTGAATCGTAACGTCTATATTAATATAATCCACATCTATGCTTAAGTTAATTTTATACTCGTAATACACTTTTAGCATGTTTTGAATTACCATTTAATTACCTATATATAATCAATTAATTTTATCGTGCTTAGTATTAAAAAAAAAAAAAAGTAATAATGATTATAATATCATAATTATTTTTTTAAAATTTATTTTACCAAGTCGGTTACTATCTATAATTTTTCAGGAATAAATATTTACTTAATCAATATTATTAGCACATACTATGAATTATATGCCTTAATGGATCTACATTAATATTTGATACTTGTCACACTTTTGTCCTATTATTAATAGTATTTAGTTACAATTATTCATTATATTCAATATTATTATTACTATAAAGTTAGAAATTTAGGTTACTAAACACTAATCGCAGTAATCATCCCTTTTTAAACCTAATGAAGAATGTATGTTTAAATTTACAATTACTAACGTAACATTAATTACAATGCTTATCTATTATTAACCTACACATATATATATCATAACTATATGCACCTTACACATAATGAAAAATAATATTTAAAAAGACGACAGGAATTTTGTCTTCCTTTCCTCTATTTAAGTAATAAAATTATATCCTTTTCGTAAAAAAAAAAAAAAAAAAAAAAAAAAAAAATATAAAAAAAAAAAAAAAAAAAAAAAAAAAAAATTTTTTTATAATAAATTATTTTATATATATATAATATTCTAAAAAACAAAAATATCTATTCTACAGATGGAATTGCCCTTATTTGGATGGATTTCCGATGTTAAAAACTACATTTTTATTGCCTTCAGAGTCATAGCCTTTATTATAATTATGATTATGGCTCGATACATGTATACCTGCTGCAGATCCATGCACCAGAGACGCCAAAGAATAAGAAATGCTACTGCAGGACAATAAAATATCTGTCAACTTTCTTGATTGCATCGAGGGCGATGCAAATTTTAAGGAGGGAGGACAACGAGCATAAAATTTTGACCATTTAATTTCAAATAAATGCGGATCAATAAAGAAAATATATTCTGCAAGAATGGATATCTATATATATATATATCCAGGTGTTTCGCTATACAGCACCATGCATCATGAATCATCTACAGTATTGTCGCACCAGTGTATTGTCATTGCGACAGAAAATGAGTAAAAAGAAAGAGAGAAGATACGCGAAGATGGACAGTGATGGACTACAATCATCGCCACATAAGAGATAAGGATGCATTGTATAATGCGAGTGAACTCCTTCACTCTTTATGTTACCCTAATATAAAAATTATAGTGATCATCACGTTATTCAAAATTTTGGCCCACTAAACAAAATTTGAATAACCGAAATATTTTATAAAAATTATTAATATTGATTTTATTAAAAAAAAAAAAAAAATATATATAATAAAAAAAAAAAATTTTTTTAATAACGAGATGATCATTTTACATATATCTAAATGTTTTAATTATATTTTATCAAATGAATTTTAAATTTATATATATAATATTTTATAAAAAAAAAAGAAGAAGAAACTTTAATTATCTATGTTAATTTCAAAATTATATTATATTAAATTAGTATTAAATTTTGTATAAATATTTTTTTTTTAAAAAAAAAAGAGAATGGTTTTCGTAAGGACCATGCAGGAAGGAAGTTTAAAAAAAAAAAAATATTAAAATTAAGAATTTATATAAAAAATATAAAAATATTTTATTGAAAACACACACACATTCACACTACAATTCTCACCACAAACACACTTACAAACAATCACGCATTCCAAAATAAAAATATATTATTAAAAAAAAAAAAAAATTTTTTTTTAAATATATATATATACATATACATAACTTACATCTAAACACTTAATCACTATCACTATAACTAAAAGTGTCATTCGCGCACAATTCAAGAGGGTCTTTTTCCCTAATATTAAAAGTTTCTCCAGAGGATCCCGCACATTCCTCCACTGTCACTTCTTCAAACCAGGGCATCTCCACATCGATGACCTCATCCTTGAAGTCCATCTCGACTTCCTCGACGGAATCAGCCCCAGATGAAGAAGGTCCAGGAGAAGGAAGAATGTAGTTGGAAGGGCCGGGTGACAGGTCCACCACTTCCGGAGAGACCCTCTGGACATCATGGAGAACTGCTGGAAAATAAAACAAAAGAAAAAATTATTAAAAAAAAAACAATTTACATCAAAAAAAAAAATAAAAGAGAAGAAGGAAGAAAGTTTTAATAATTTTATAATTACCTTCAGGAAGAATGGGCACACGCAATTGACACCTGCCACAGAAGCACCCAGGAAGACGATTTGGAGATCTGAAAACAAAAAAAAAAATATTTTTTTTATTACATAAAATTTTTTTTTTCTTCTCAAATTCATAAACAAAATTAATTCTAAATATGGATACCAACCTCAAAAATTGGAAAACCAAAGACATGTCCTGAGTGATGGCCCCAACGATTCGCTGCGCCCTTTCCCACTCTCGTTCCTGGGCCAACCTAACATTGACCTCGGCAAGGAGTTCCCTGCTGGGCCTCCCTCGTCGGCGTACAGGCGCTGGAGTCGTTCTAAGAACATTATCCAGGTGCTGCCAGGACACCAAATGGTGATTCAAAATCACCGACAGCACCAGGACTCGCTCCATATACGCCCTGAAAGAGACCGGGCATTGTGGAGGAACTCGACCTGAAAATAAAAAAAAAAGAGGATATTAATATACAAAATTATTTTATCAATTAAATAAATACCACATTATTAAAAAAAATTTTAATATGCATACCTGCCAAGTAATCCTCTAAGTTGACCGTCGATGCTGATGAGCGTCCACTCTCCATGATGACAATTTAATTACTAATGGATAATTACTCCCATTCCAACATCTAAGGATGAGATTATGTTGACAAAATCGCGAGATGAAGATCATTGCCCTGGGATTGAGACAATGGCCAGCTGAGGAAGATGAAATCATCCTCAAGAGAATACAGATCACTAGACTGAAGACATCACCGATAACACTACTCACATTACACTGCACACTATAAATGCTTAATAAAAAAAAAAAAATTTTCACATAACTTCCTATCTATGCACTGTTCTTGCTTACCGTAAATGAAATCATCGAAATTCGCGGTTGGCACCCTTACAGTATGAGTGTAAGAAAATGAGTATTTTTTTTGTAAAAAAAAAAAGAGAGAAACGTCACGTTTTAAAGAAAAGGGCAGCCCAAAAACAATTTCATGTTCAATCGGGACATTGAACAATTCTAAGGAGGGAGGACTGTTACATCCCAGTAACAAATTTTAAACTTCGTTCAATACATATATATATAAATAATAAACCATAAAATTTATTTTGTATTTAAAACAGTTAAAAATAATATCTTAAAACTATAATTATTTCAAAAATTATATAAAAGCATTGATTCATATTCATATACGCGCGACTATATCTATATATATGCATATCTCTGCCTGCATGTTATGACTCGTCGCGAGCGAGCGATATATATAGATATAGTGCGTACAGGCATGGATATGTGAATATAGATATAGCGAGTAGATGCATCACCGAAGGTGACCTCCCGCTACAGAAGGGCTATGCTGAGGAATCGCGTGTGGTTGTTGAACAAGAGCGAAAACTATCTACACTAGTTTTCGCCCTAATTCTTCAAAATTAATTAATTCTTTTTGCTATTATATTTAAAATACAGTTATCTATTACTTTAAAATAATAAATCTTATACATTTTAAACTTAAAGCATTTAAAATGCCATTATTCAAAAATATAAATAATGTTCAGTATATAAAATTTTTCTAATTTGAATCCCACGCAATGCTTCAGCTAATTCTTAGGAATTGTTTTTGCAGCTGCATAAAGTATAAAGTCTTATGCGATGATCTACTTCTCACTTGTATCAAATCGCATAGGCTAACCTTTGACTTGAATATCGAAAGCCTGGTAGGCTATTCCTAGAAATTAAACCTATGCCATTTGACACTACTACGCATATTACTCAGTAGCAGCGAGTGGACTTATGACTCATGTAAGCGTTAGCGAGGCGCAAGCACAGTATTCTAGCGTCGCAATATTGTGAGATGCTTGTAGACAATGTAATAGCGATACTTGTGCTATGCGATACAGGATGCAGGTGTTCATCTAAGCTCTGAGAATTGTTACAGTTCTATGAAAATCTAAGAGTCAAGCTTAGAGATGGGGTGATCTTTGAACTTATTTACTCCCACTGAGGGTAATTTTCTAGTATAAAAACCCATGCAAATCCATTGTCAATCGTCAGTTGCTCCGGAATCATTCTATAATTCATTTTCTTAAAGTAAATTCACCATCGTGAAGCTTGACCCTTCGGTTATTTTGAAAGTTCTACGACTGTAACTCTTGCATCTCAAACAGTATATGTTTACTCGTTGTTCGGTTTTTGAGCAAGTAATCATCATCGCCAGATTTGTGAGCTTGTCAATTATTGAAATTTAAAATAAATCGTCGTATTAGTGTATTCTCATTTATCGATTTTGCAAACGTGACGTGTGTGCATTTCGGAGTTTACGAACTAAAAAAAACTGTGAAGAAGTCCCAACTGTTCCTTTTAAGGAGTTGTAAAAACTCACAGCGTCGCTGACAAGTGCCAACTTGTTTTATATTCATTTCTGCCCTCTGAACAGAGGTAATTGTAAGTACTATATTTATAAAACACAATTTTCTTTGTAACAACATTTTTACACTAAAACACCTTTGTAATATTTTGAGTTTAATTCATTTATATTAATAAATTATACAAAGTTTAAATTAATAAAATTCTTTATTAATTTCTCATTTACCTAAAATTATCATAACTATTCATATTCAACTTAACAATTATAAGTGGAAAGGCAATTATTTAATAGTAAATTACTTAAAGACGACCCCCATAGGATCGATAGGAACAAACGTTCTCACATAAAAATAAATGGTCAAGCCTTACCAACTTGACTTAATCAGCCTACCATTCCTCCAAAATTTAAAAATTGATTTTATTAATTAAAATTAAATTCAACCTCGCCTTTCGCTCGGGATGTAACAATGAACATATTAAATTTTGTTTTGATAAACATTAGTTTTTTTTGTACTTAATATATAAAAATTTTAATAAATTTTATAAAAATTGAATATAACCATTTTATTAAAACTCAAATAACATGTTTTATTCCTATTCCAGCAACAATCCGAAGGAATATTATAAGAAAATTAAATTAATTTTTTAATTAATTAAATTAATTCTATAATTCACTCATTTTAAATTCGTCAAAAGTTAATAAATTATTTATTTTGTTTATTTATTTAGTTATTTATCATCATTATTATTATTTTTATATTGTTCTCCAATATTCCAATAGAATATTTCGTGCTATTTAGGACTGTTTATTATAATTTGTAAAAAATCCATATTTTTAAGAAAATAAATTGATAATTGAATGATATTTGAAATATTTATATATAATATAATTAAATAGAACAAGAAGTAGGTTCCTCCTATATAAAAGAAGTAAATTGATATCTCATAAAGGAAGAATTGTGTGTATATGTGACCGCATCTGAGAAAGCGGTACTTACGACCAAAAAAATTTTGTCTTAAAAATGATAGTATTGAATTTTTCAGACCTTATAATCTAAGAAAACGACATTAAAAAAAATTCTTTTTCTTTGACTGCAAGCACCGTTTTCTCAGACGCGGTTGCATATGCTATAAACACTTTGGAATAGTTTAATCAATGAGACTTAAAAAAAACTTTCCAAAATGAAAGAAAATATAGATAAATTTTTTCAATAAATTTTTCAAAGTCATGGATAAAAAAAGATTTTTAAAATTTTTTGAATGCAAAAAATAATTTGATAATCTAGTTAGATGTAATTTTACTTTATGTCAATGTGTAAGATTTTTTTAAGAAAAAAATTCGTCTCTAAAGCTCTTTTTGAATTTGAGATATTTATGAAAGATTAATGTTAACACTCAAACGGAATAACATTCACTAAAAATGTGAGTTTTTTATTCCCTACATCGAAAAATATAAAGATACGTAAAAAAATCACATTCTAAACAAATTTGTCAAAAAATAAATTATTTTTGATAAAATATTAAAAATTTTCCTACTGGTATAATTTTAGCAGTAAAAGAAACAAAATATTACCTTCATCCATGATTCTGAGGTATTGATTTGTCCTTTCATATCCATATTTAACAATGTGGTTAAAACGTGCCACAATTTCTTCTATGTAAAAAAATTAGTTACTTTTTAAATTTTAATAAATTATTAATATTTTAATGCAAATTAAAAAAATGGAAGAAGTTAGAAATAGGTAAATAAGTTTATTATCAATGAAAACAATTTACTGCAACTTTAAAGTAAATAAAAGTTTTAATATTATTTAAATATTTAATAATTATTATTAATTGAAAATGAATAATAAACGCAGGAAATTTTTTCACGCTATTGCAGTGGACTCCGACCATATTTAAAAAATATATTTTTCATCAGTTTCACTTCAAAAATAACTCTGCACAATTTTTATAGTACAGAATTGCTATTATCTCGAAATATAATTGTACCGAACTTTCACGTTCCTGATTTGTCATCGTCCCAAATTATCATTGTCAAGTTCAAGAAACCTTCGATCAGTCCATTTTAAAATTTGCGCTCAAAAAATTTTTGTCTAGTTCATTTAGGGAAAATGACAATATTTGTTACATTTTTATGCTTCCCGTTTCAAAATACAGTAAAAATTATTATTTATTACCATTTTCAATTTTAAATCTATTTTTTTGTATGATTTAAAATCCTTAGTTAAAAAACAGAAATAATTTAAATAACTTTACAGTAAAATTTTCATTCAATTTTAATAATCTTGGATGGGAACCCTAACATCAAAGTATATTCTAGGACATCCGACGGACGTCCTAGTCGTATCCAGAAATTAGGATATCTTTAGGATATCCATAGAACATCAACGGATATCCCTGGGAGATCCTATGGATATCCTAATTGCAATATAATAATTAAATATTTGGTGGACATTCGCATGAAAACGTATAATTTTGTCAGTTCATGTTTTCGAGATAATCGCAATTTATTGGTGGAACATCTTTATTATTTCTTATTTTTTTAAACTAGAGGGTTTCACACGTCAAATTCTGCAGGCTTAATTATTTTATTTTTAATTAAATGTTTAATTTAATCGTTTCTTTTTAAAAAAAGAGCCCATTTTGTCAATCCTTTGGAAAATTGCGATTTCTGACAGTTTCATGTAACATTTGGTGTGCTTCTGGATAAAAATATATTCTGACATTCACACATCTAGTGGATTTAATTAAATAGATGCGGACGTTCGTATGAGAAGGTCCCACTTTGTCGGTTCTACTTTTCAATGAAATCTTAATTTACTAAATTCGATGAAAAATCTGGAATATTTTTACTTTTTTAAATCAGTCTACAGGGTCTAACAAGTCGAAAAATGAACATGACATAGTTTTCTTGTTAATTTAAATATTTTATTTCATTGTTTTTTTTTAAATAAAAGATTCCACTTTGTCGGTTTATCGTCATTTCCAAACAATGAGCTCAAAAAAATTTTAAACCTATTGCTTTGTCATCAGAGAAATTATTCTAGCTCAAACAAAATATATAACCTGAATAACTTGCAGAAATAGCCGAGGTATTCTTACTTCAATCTTTAATTTTGTTTTTTTCAAAATGTGGTTTTTGGCATTATTAACTTTGAAATAATTTAACTCTAAAGTTTTTTCACTTAGAGGGTTCTGAAACCGCTTAAAATTTTCAAAATTTTGCCAAGAATACGCCTATATATATAAGTCTAATAGTGCCAAAGTGAGACCTTTTCACGCAGACGCCCACAGATAGAACAAATATTTTTTTTAAATATGAAAAAATTTTAAGGCATAAAAAAGTCGCTGTACCTTACTTATCAATTAATCTATTATTATTTAAAATGGAGACATTTAAAAAGTATTTAATGTTTAGTTTCTATTCTTTTTCTTTAAATAAGTCAGTTAAGTAATATCTACTCTTTAACTTAATGAAAAACTCGGTATATTAAATAAAAATAGCATTTTTATAAAAGGGCCCATTTTGTCAAATGTCCCGTATTTTAAAAAAGGAGGGGAAAAAGTTAAAAAAGTTTTTCTCGAAATCAGGTGTTTGGCAGTCAATAAATTAAAAAGGCTTTAACTCATCGATTTCTACACATAAAGTGACCTAAGGCTTATCAAAAGTTTTTAAGTTTTGTGTAAAATTTATTTATATATGTAATTTTAATAGTGCTCAAATGGGCCATTTTGATGTGGACGTCCACAATTAATTATTAACTAATACATTGAAAATGTAATAGTTGATATTTACTGACTGATAAGATTCAATAAATATTTGAAAATATTGCAGATTTTTAGAGAAATTTGAATTTCCTGGAGTAGTAGGAGTTATAGACGAGACATTTATAGCTATTACACCACCACGCAATGATATTGAAGAAGGATACTTCAATCGGAAGGGATATCACTCTCTTAATGCGATGATTGTACGTGTATATAATAGTTATTTTCGTATCAAGGGCGCAAAATAGGTGATTGTGGCGAAGGCGAGACTAGAGAAACCAAGGGTCGCCGAGGTTTCTTCATAATCTCGCCTGAGACACTATCACCTTTTGCGCCCGTACTGCGAACAACATTTTTTGTCCTGTCTGCATGGAAAGTGTATTATTGAGTGCATGCAAGTCCGCTTGTTTCAATGTTCCATCAGGGTTGGGAAGATAATATACTTAAGGTAAATTACATGTAGTTGTTTACGTATATTACGTATGTTTATTATGTCACAAAAAATAAAAACAATACATTTTTTAATGGTGCGGGCGCGAATGTACTTTGCGCCCGCTCACCCCATCTCTGGGCGGGAATCACTTACTTTGCGACCGCCTCAAGTGCACGAAATAACACACTTTCCGTGCAGGTAGGACAAAAATATATATATTAATTATTCAATAGAAATTAATAAATTTCTTATATATTACGATTTTAATCAAGTTACGATCCCAATCAAAATTATTTATTTTATAAATTTTATTGAAATACTTATTAAGGAAATAACAATAGGTATCAGATGCTGACAACAAGATATTAGCAATTAATGCCAGGTATGGTGGCAGAGCAAATGATGCTCGAGTTTTTAACAATTCAATTCTTCGGGCTTTTATGAAACAAACGTATACAGAAGCATTGAGAGGATTCTGGCTGTTAGGTAGTAAAACTCTGAACTATTTAGAGATCATTTTTAAAACTAATTTAAAGACCCAGTTCATGCTTTAGTGGATTTATAATGCAAACTCCTATAATAATGTTTAAAAGTATATAAATAATAATCTGAAGAAAATTTCCAGAATTGACTAATGGCGCTGGAAAAGTACCAATACCGCTCCATTATTGTCAGTCAATTACAGACATTGAACATTCAAAAGAACGTGTTTCGGGAAATTTAATTAATACTTGTAGATCAACATTTTTAAAAGCTAACTTAATTTTCGATCTTTAACTTGTCAATTAAAAATGACCTCTGAACTGTGATAAATACAAACATTTATGCTTATATTCATTTTGACATAAATTTTTAGACGATTGGGGTTTGGGAGAAAAATTACCCTCAACCTTTGACCTCTAGGACACTTAAAAAATGACATAACTTTTGAGAAATTATAATGATAATCCATACTTACCTATGAAATTA